ATCAACATATGTTGTAGATTCTGGGATTATCACCATTAAAAATGCCAAGATTTATCATGCCTTTAAAAATTCTGTAGCTCTGCTAATAAAACGATCCATATCACAATCATGATCAGTCACGATAAACTCACTGCCAGATGAAGGGCTCCCCAAGCCACCACTATCTCTCATGGCCTTGCGATGGAAACGAATCCATCTAGCACCTGCACACGAGCCGATTTAATAGCTCCATCTCCACAGCGAACGTATTCTCAGACATGTTCCCTCGTTTGAATGCCATTCCATTTTTAGGCTCGCCCACCGGTCATCATCTATTCTTGCGATGTGTACTGTCCAACCCCACCTTGTAGTCAAGATGATATCTTAAAGTTGCACGTGCTGTCTAATCCCAACATTTTTTGTTGTTTCTCTCAGTGGGATTTACAAGCATGCACCTCTCCAAGCTCTGTTGTATGCTTTTCAACATTTTCTTTGTCAATGTCCATATTGCTGACCCATGGCATATTGACAACCCGTCCCTACTGGACATCTGTAAACAGAGAGCTCCATAGCTCATTGCATTCCTCCAACACAAATAAAGATTCTGATTTAGACCGATTAAAAAAAATTTGCTTTCTCAATCATGTATCCTTTCTACAGTCCATTTTAAGGGAAGGTGGGGAAACTGATCTCCCTAAGATCCAGCAATCTACTCCTTACTTGATCACCACATGTGCAAACACAAGACAGGAGGCGAACCACCTGTAATGCGGACGCTCCGATGCACTCTAACGAGGTGACGAGCACGGTGGTGACTCAGAGCTCGGTTGCTCACCTGAATGCTGATGTCGGTATCGGAGGCCCTGCATGAGATTTAGTACACCTTCACAATCCTTTCATGCCAATTATGTGCCATCACCGCAAATACTAAAAAAATAAGCACATTTTAAAACCTGTCAAAGTGGCAATTATATTGGCTTGTGAAAAATGTCTCTTGCGATAAACGGAGAGATTGAGAATGCTGTATGTGGATCACGTACCACATGCACAGCAGCAGGTTTTCAGTGCTTCACTGCACAAACAAGATCCTGCATTACGGCACTGCAGTAATGTGGAGTTAGCATTTACATCAGGAAGACGCCCATCATAACCTCCCTCATAGAATGTGCCTATGTTGTCTGTTGGCCCGGGGGGCACAAGAAAAACGTAGCAAACCCAAGTCTCTCCCTGATGTTGAGATTTATGTATTTGAGCTAATCGTGAAAAAAGATGAAAGAGATGAGATTTCTGCCAGAGAGACGTGCATGATCCACCTACAGTGGAACGATCATCCGGTGGTCTGATTACAGTAAGTGCTCCCTACATCAGCAAAATTGGCTCGGCTCCCAATGTATTTATTACACGCAAGGTGAGCCAGACGTTGAATTACGCAAAAGAAAAAAATATTTTAGGAGGCATTTATTTACAAAAACCACCTTGGAAACTGTGCAGCGCTCCTCGACTTTGTGGGCTTAAGAATTCAGAACAAAATGTGTATTATTTTACGCATATAATCTCTGCATTTATGTGTGCATCAGCAATGTGTTTGTTTGCACAGCAGTCCATTTGCTGGACATACCTCGTTGCTGTAAGAGAAGCTGCTTTGACTTGTTTTGTTTTGAGTGTAGTTCGGTCAAGATGGATTTCACTGCTTTGCCAAAACAGGCAGTCGCGTGAATTAAATATTTGTGCAACGAGACTCCATTAAAGCCCATGCAAGGCATCTGGAAGAATGACATTATTTTTGGTAAAAAAAAAAAGGATATGACTTCATTTAGTATGCAGGGCTCATGACCATGACAACACGCCCCGAGTGAAGTAAATATAACCCTGTACAGTGTTGTCACAGCCACCCTACCCCGTGACCCCTCTTGTCTGAATGACATGCCCTCCTCCTCTCAAACAAAATAATTGGGCGAGCCCACATTTATTGTCCCGATATAAGTCACCGAATCATTTACTGCGCGGTTTTCCATAAAACTGTGTTCCTGTGGTGTATAATTTTTGTTTAGAGGAGGTCAAAAACTGTCTGCTTTTGTGAGAATAATTTCTCACATCAACTCCCGTTGCCATTACTACGTGAGCAAATTATAAGCAATGCTGCATACGACAGCCACTCATTTTCTAGTTTTGCCCAATTTTAATCATGGCAGTATATTTTTAGCCTTCCTTTTTTTTTGTTAAAAAAAAAACCCTGAAGGCTGCAGATTTGCAGGCAACAGGCAATTACTCACGCTACACTCTCCGCCCGGGGAGGGGGCGACGGTCAGAGCCAACGCCTTTCTCAAAGGCTCCCCCCTCCACGGGGTCCAGCAGCCCCACCAGGAGCAGCGCCGGGCACGACGTGGCTTCTCCCGGGGGGCCCCCACAATTCCACTTTTAGACATGCGCCGAGAAACGCCACCCGGGGCCCAAAGCGAGGGGTGGACGGGCGAGCTGGGGAGGAAGGCAGCTTTTGTGTTCATCCCACTCTTGTGGGCTGGCGGCGGGGGTTGCAGTGAAAGAGTATCCACGAAATATTTACGGTGCCGATAAAAACGCACAAACCGTGAAGTGGGGAACGCGACGTAGGCCATTCTATTAAGCGCTGGCCATTTTCCCCTCGCCGTCCTAATATGCGTAAAACATAAGCTAATACCCCGCGTGTCGGTGCGCCGCGAGATTAAGCCTCGCTTACGTAATTAACAAAATGGCCGGGGCAATAAAACGTGGTGGTGGCCACCGAACAGAGCGGCGGTCCAATTACGGGGAGTTGTGGGCCGGAGGCAATGGGCCCACGGGCAGGGCCGAGAGCGCACGGGCCGCCCGCTGCTCAACGTGCACTTCAGAGCTCCTCCTCGTCGGCTGGCGGGGGAACAATTAGTCTGTGGCTGGCATGCAGAGCGGCGGTGCACGAGCCACACGTAATGAGCCGGCTCAACAAAAGGTCAGCTCCGAGGCTGTAATTAAAAAGCATCAATATGCGTGGGCAGCTTTATAGATTTCCTAAGAGCTGCTAAACACACTTATAACATTCGATTTTGGTGGCGTCCTTTTTTAAGCAAAGCCTTTGAGACGGCCTTTATGCTGCCCGAATGCTTGATTTAAAGAGAACTACGCTTTTGTGACTGGGAAGGGGAGGTTAAGTAATAAGTCGTGCAGCTGGCACACTCCGCAACCTAGTGGGCAGTTTGGTCCTGTCCCAATGAACCGGGAAGCCAAACAAGCTGTAATTCTACACTCGATGGAGCCCTACCGCCTTTTCCCACCGCTCCTTCACACCCTCCCATGGTCCCCCGTCTGCCCCTTCATTATGCTAAAAATACGGGTTTCCTCCACAACAGCAGATGGTGTGGAGTTTAAAATGCGTACAATAAAACCACAATGCCGGTGGCTGTATGTGGCAGGATGTGGTGGTTCCGCATCAAGTATGGAAAAAAGATTTTCGGTCTTTTAACTGAACACAATAACAAACACTGTGGGCACGCAGCTCAGGCACGGTTCGCATATAACATTGTCTAGGAATATAGAATAATGGGCGTGGTGATTTTTTTCTAAATTCTTTCATGTTTGGGCCAAAATTCTCACACTGGCAGGCACCGTTGATCAGCCCCTTATGTCTGCTCCACCCATAACCAGAGTGCAGTGTTTATCACGTTTATCACAGCGCTCAGTGAAATGCGCAGCGGATGCGCCCATTATCCATAAAACACCCAACTCGATAAAAGGCAGCATCGCGGTCGATGCTGCCCACGGGCAAGCTCTATGCCTATCAAAAATTACGTCCAGCATAGGGGCGATTGAAACCAAACACAAATCGATCAAACGCTATTAATTATTGCCAGCGCCTCTCCTCCACCATTTTAGTGTCCCTCCTAAATCTTCTGTACAACACTCTCCATTTCACGTACTTAATGTGAAGTGCACTAGCCGCGATTAAAACCACCACCAACCACCACCACCACCACTTGGGCTTGCAAAAAATTCAGCTGAAGTTGCAGGTTGTCTCTTGTCGCTTCTGTGAGCAGCAAAACTGCTTATCTCAATATATAAATTAGCTTAGTGTGTGTGTGTGTGCTTACCTTCCCAGACCTATCCTGTGACCAATAACAACCGGATTTTTACTTCGCCTTTCTTACATTTCTTTTTTGCAATCGTTCCATCATGTAATATTCCAATAAAAGAGGACAAACAGCAGACATGGGTGTAAAATGACAATAACGTTTAGCGTTACAGGCAATAAAACCACAGCTCAAGATTAGCATTTTGATTGTTTTGATCAAGGACTCGGCACTGCCACACACGCAGCAGCCACCAGGGACACAGCCATTCAACGGGCAGAGCGGCTGCACTCACCTTTAGCCGCTCACTTCATAGCTCGTTAACCCATTGGCGATACCGACAGCCAAGTGTTGCGTAACGAAGAAAATCCCGGAGCACGACATTCAGGTGTGGGTGCGTGTGGCCCACGGCAGTCACCACCACCACCACCAGTTGACCGCGACTTCTCCGATGGTTGCCCCATGCTGCTGCCGCTGCAGAGGCGTAAACAACCTACCTTGCCGTCGCCGTCTTCATTTTCGCCACAACCCTCCGGGTGGGGCGTGGGCAGACGATACCACACGCCGCACGGCCGCTGACAACAACAAGGGCACTGAAAATCCCCTGGCGCGGGGCTACCACGCGGCACACGGCTTCCGTCGAGCACTAAAGTACTTGGGACATCTATTTTAGACGGGGGGGGGGGGGGGGGGGGGGAGGCTTTCAGCAGTGCTATAGTAACTGCAAAACGCACGTTTGATGCACCCCCCTTTTGGTCACAGAACGCCTCGGTGTCTTCCGAGAATTTGCTTCGCCACCGACAAGACAACACAAGAACGAATTTCCTCCCATTTCTAACAATCGGCCCCTGTTTTGCTTTTTGCCCATGCCACATGTTGAACAAGGCGGCACTGGCGTGCGGCGAGATAAGGCAAGAGCGGCAGTGACTGCGGTGGTCTCACCTGGCGGAGGCGGGCGTTGGCGAGCGCCTGCTGCAAGGTCTCGTTCCGGCCCGCGCCACCACCGACGCCACCCACACCGGCGCCGCGCTCGCCCTGCGGCGCATTGCCGTTGGCCCCATCGTCCATGCTCTCCTCGGCGCCCTCCTCCTCCTCGTCCTCCTGCATCTCTTCGTCGCTGTCCTCCTCGTCCTCGTCGTCGTCCATACCCCTGCGGTCCCCCCGGTCGTCGTCGTCGTCCTCGTTGACGTCCAGGCTGCCGTCCTCGTCGTCAATGCTCACGATGCCCTCCTCCCTCTCGTTGACCCCTCTGATGCCGTGCCCGTTGTGAATTCCCCTGTAGTTGTTGTTGTTGTTTCTTCAGCTGCGCCCAGCGTTGTTCCTACTGCTACCAGGGCTGCTGCAATTCCTCCTCCTCCTCCTCTTCTTCCTCCTCCTCCTCCTCCCTGCCCTGTAGTACCACCGCTTCTTGCTCATCGTCGTTGTCTTCCTCGTCGTCGTCGCCATCCTCGTCTTCGTCATCATCTTCATCCTCGTCATCTTCCTCCTCCACCGCGAGGTGGTTGTCGGCGTTTTCTCTCCTCCGCCTGCCGATGCATCGGCGTCCCCGGCCGTTGAAGCTGGCGCCGCCACCGACAACGCCGCCCCCGCCACTCCCTCCGGCGCCGGCTGCCCCGCCGCTGCCCGCGCTCCCGCTAGTGCCGCTGGAGCCGCTGCTGCTGCCGCCGCCGCCACCGCAGGTGAGCAGCTCGCGGTTCATGTCGAGCACCCAGCCCGCGATGCCCCGCACGCGAGTCAGCTCTTCTACGGACTCGAAGCCACCCAGCTCCTGCACGCACGCACACAGACGACGCGCAACGCGCAAGCGTTACCCGCAAGCTCTGGAGAAGACCGTTGTTGTGGGGGGCGAATCATTTTATCGAGCACCCCGTAATGTTTATCAACATTCTCTGCCTGCTGCTGCTGACACGTGACACGCTTTGATGCTCTTTTAGAATGAGTCAAAGTTATGGATAGTGTGTTAGGAAGACGTAAATGATACATGTGTGTTGCTAAGAATGGAGCCAGCGTTTTGAGGAATCTAGTACGCTCACCGCTGCTCGCTCCACACAGATCCTCTGTGTGACTGTTGGCTGTTGGCGCAAGTGCTGTTTGCGAGCACCTGTTAAGGCTGACAATGCACTTAAAGGTGTGGCGAGGTCAGCACCATGTATCCCCAGTACACTAGGTGTGTCATGACGCATGGATTCATATTAAAATGGATTCTTACGCTCACAATACATGCATCAAATTATGCATGCGAGAATCAATTAGTTCAAATTCGTACACGTCGTATGTAATGGGGTCACGTGACCCCTCCAGCCATTAGAGGCGCAACAATCCCCATAATGTAAAAAAAGTATCGATTCTTGAATCAAGTCACAACCCTAAATCATTACCATTAATTGAAGAGTGGGGGGGGGGGTGGATCATTGCACGCATAACCTACACGCTTGCACCAGGTACTGTTTTAAGACCGAGTTTACCTAGGAGTGGACCAGAACAGGCTGGGATACCACTTGCCATCGGTGTTATCCAAGCCTAACCCACCGCGCCACTCTTCCCCATGACACACATAGATGCGCAGGCAAGGAGCGCAACATGTGCACGGTCAACAGGCAGGCAGACCAGTTCCAATACAAACTGTCGTGGCTTTAGATTATTCACCGTTAGTCGACATGGGGGCCAATCGGATGAAAATAATATGTTTACCGGCTCATTAAAATTTGAACGTACAGCAGATCATAGCAAAGTTTAACTCAATTTCATTCAAAAACCGTACGGCATGATACATGCATGTTATTCACGTGTGCAGTGACAGACTGAAATGTCCAACAGTGAAAGATGTGTTATAGCTAGAGATTACGAAACAGGCAATGCTCATATTAACTCATTGCTGTGTGGTTAATCAAAGCCAGTGCTCTCGATTAATAATGTTTTTAATTAAATGTATGCAGTATATAAAATAATTTTGCTTCCCATTTCAAAAGGTAATGAACAGTCTGACGGCAAGTCATAAGGTAAGAAACCACAAACAAATCCAATTTTAATCATTTAAAGCCAGAATCAAGTAGTTTTCAGAACACGCGTTTGCAGACAAAATTTGAGCCAAAGCGGAAAGCAATAACCTTCAAAGACTGCTGGATAAAATGTTCATTTTTTCATTTTACAGCATGTTCTACATCTGTAAGTGGAGAATTATTTCTCTGGTGTATTGAGTGCAAACTACTACATTACAAACATACAACACTCATCTTAAAATGTGGGTCGGATGTCAGAACAGGAACAAAAGAATAGGTTTCAACTCACCTAATTTAAAAGCATGGTTCACCTGTCATCCTGCTCTTAAAAATATTCCACATTATTGCTACAAAGAAGGTTGAGGAACAAAGCCATAGCATTGCCAGTTACTCCCCTAAAGACACAAACTCAGGAGTGAACCGACCGTTTCATACTGGAACCTTTGACAACCCACTCTCATCTCCGGCCACTGCTCTCAGTCCAGCCTTGAGATGTGGGGGCAGTCTTTTATGATTCAGACAGTCAATGGATCTCAACTGCCATTGTAGAAAAAGAGTGCTCCACTTTACCAAAAAATACATGCTTTTATTCCACACATCCGTCGCTCATTTGCACCGGTCGGCATAATCAATGACCAAAGATTCCCTAACAAAGACAAGAAGTTTCCAGACATGCTGCACAGACAATTCTGTACTTAACAGTGAAGCGGGAGAACTCAAATCCTCTGCATATGAGAACTGCTCCCAGGGGGACAAAAAAAAACTTTTCCTCAACTTCTACTGGGAAATCTACGTGAAGAGGAGTTCAGCAGTGATGCATTCACTTCAGTTTCCTGCTAAGGCACAAAGCCACACGTGTGACCCAAGCAACCAGGACACTCTGCCATGTGTGCCGCATAAAAAGCAGCCCAAAGCAGTGCATGATAAATCCATGGGGCTCACACTTTCGAAAAAGGCTGTCTATTCATGAACTATTAGAAGAACTCTGCCCTTCTTATAAAAATGCACTGGCTCCTCATCTCCTACGGTGTCTGTTCAAGCTCCTTACGCTAAGTATATAAACCTCTTCATGGCCTTGCCCAACCGTACCTCGCTTCCCTCAATCTCTCCCACTACAGGTAATCCCAGACTTACGATGGAGATGCGTTACAACGACCCCATCGTAAGTCGAAAATATTACAAGTCGAAAATGGCCTAGCCTACCCAGGAGTCTTAAAGAATGGTGATAATTTAGCAAAACAGAGCAACTTACAGTACCGTACTGTATAAACTATATGCATACAGTACATCCCAGCAGCGTCCCAACGTACAGTATCGTACCTCGTACGCTGCTGCATTTGCTTGCCGCGCGAAATGTGAAATATTTTACAATTTTGTCGTATCGCTATCGCCATCGTAAGATCGAAATATCGTAAGTCGGACCATCGTAAGTCGGGGACTACCTGTACTCCGAACCGTTCCCACCTCTCCTTGTGCACAATCCCATTTCTGCTCCTTTTCCCTACTTGCCCCCTTGCACTAGAACAAACTTCCCCTCCACATTAAGCAGCGAGAAGCACCCTCCCTCCCCGTGTCGAGTTTCCGCTCCTTCCTCAAGACCCACCTCTTCTGCCTGGCCCATCCTTCCCTCCATCCCTAGGTACCCCCGTAATTCCCGAACCCAATAACCTCGCCTCCCCATACCCCATCCCTATTCACCATATAACTTTTACCTAACCCTCGCTGAACCACTCGTAACCCTTGTAAAGCGTCTTGGATCAAGGCGCTATATAGAAATATGATAAGAATGTTCTTCGCGCACTTGGCCCTTTTACTCTCTCCACCTGGGTTCTTTGGCGGTACGGTGGCAACGTTGCCGACAACAGCCATCTCCGGTCCGGGGCAGAGCACACGCAGCCCCTGCGGCTGCCTGCAAACGGCCCCTACAGTGTAACTTCACAGCCATGGCCAGCTGCAAACGAACAGCCCCCGGAGCCTTCCTGGTACCATTGCTGTTTTAAGTTAATGTGTACAAACAACACGAGGGGGGGGGATGCTTTGCCTTGATGGAAAAATGCCTTGCCAGTTTAATTTCCTCCACACATTTCAGAAGAAATTGTCGCTCGTTACAAATTCTGGGTCGCGGTTTAACCAATTATATGCCATAATTGATTGTCATGGCCGACAGGCAGACAGATACAACCATTACGAATAACAAGTGAATAATCTCAATAATGACGCAGTGGTTAGAGCACTGTGTTATATGAATGGATACAGCAAACATCAGTGGCGAGTGATATTTGAAACCGGCCTGCCCCTACCAACCTGACATGGGCAGTAGTGACAAAAGGCTATAAATTGTAATCTTAGATGGCTAACAGCAGTAGACAAGTAGGTAAATCTTCTCCGTAATAAATGAATGAGGAAATAACCGACTGCTCTCCGATTGTTGTCAAAGGGTAACCAAACTTTAAAAGATGTATCACTCCCCACACAATGTTCGATTGCCTTGTGACTGCATTCAGAACGTGTGACCTTAGTGCCCCAGAGGGTTAAAATCACTCTGCAGAGGAGCACTCCATAACTCAGGAGACGCATTCCCAGGCCGTCCGTGATGTTGGAGGCAAAAGTCAGAACATTTCACTTATTCATTTCCTGTATATCTTTTTTTTATACAAAAGTGATACGATCACTTGAGTGCCCATATAGTTTTGTTGGACAGATTCTGTGGAGATTGTTTTTACTTAATGTTGTATCTATCTTTAATTTCAAATAAAAGGCTCCGTTTCTTTTCCTGTCCAGAGGAAAGGAAAGCAATACAGTTCGAGACGCTTCTAATGTGATTAAGGCAAAGCTCGCATCTCATTGCGCACTCACAGCAGCTCAAGATTTACTTATATTAACAGCCATTAGCTGAGAGCAGTTAAAAGGCCTTACCCATAAACAGCGCCAGTGTAGCTGTTTTCCAGCCAAGACCGTAACCCGTATACCCGCAGCCCATCAACAGCCTGTGGAAGCACGGTTTTGGGTGACTGAAATAGGAAGGGCAAGGCAAAGGCCAGTGTTTGGAAGGGACTCAACTAAAAAAAAAATTAACACCTGCCCCCTTTCGCAGTCAGTAAATCACACAGCCCAATTTATTATCAGATCTTCTGCAAGGGATCCCCTGGCCATATCGATGCGACATGAGCCGGTCGAGCAAGCAGGCGGGTAGCTGCCCGCCCTGACTGACTGTGAAAGGGCTTGAGAAGGAAGAGTAAAGATATTCTAAAAAAACACATTACAATAGAGATGAAGGAAAAAAAAACACCGTCTTGGATGCGTCAGGACATCCGCTGAATTTTAACCACGCGGCCACTGTAAACACGTACAGGACAATGGGCTGTGGTGGTAAAAAACAAATTATGAGTGGGATATGAGCAGGGAAAGGGGGGGGGGTGCTTTTCTTATTTCCAGGAAACAAATCACAAAGGCATGCATCACAAGTGTCAGTTTTGTAGCCCCCAGGGCCTCACTTAATTCAGAGGCATCAAAATAAACATTAAACCCAAACACTGCTCCACAACCTTGAACATTTCAACTCAAGGTGGCAGCCACAGTGACATCAATTATTACAGACAAGTGAAATGGCAACTGTAGGCTATACACATGTTCTTCCCCCCCACACGACAAGGTCTTGCTAAAGATGCATTATTGATAGACCAAAAGCAAAGCGGCGACAGCGCAGAAATTCTCAGTAACACTTCCGTGTGCCTAATTAAAGACCGGGCACCACATTCAAATTGAACACACGGTGCATTATCACTTTCAAACAAACACAAAATAAATATCCAATCTAGTGCACTAAAACACCAGCAAGTTATGCTGATCAAAAACAGCAAAATTATGTGCATACAAGGACAAAGTAAATCGCTGAAAGAAGTTTTCACCCCTTCGCGAGACCGTGAGAGATGTTGGTAGCTTGGGAAGGCCTTCATCCAGCAGTTGATAGATCATGGCTGATAATGACAAAGGAATAAATGAAATCACTGAACGAAGACCATCACCCCAATTTTCAATTACCTTGACGCCACTTATACTGTAAACCTTGCCCATGGTTCCAAGCTGCCTCCTCTTCAACCGAGACAATATGTTCAAAAGAGTTACGAAAGAAAACGTCAGCCACGTGGAGTGGGACCGAGAGGCACGGCAAGGCCACGTCTGCAACGGCAGCGATGACGTGCCGCAGCCTGTGAGTCGTGCCGGCCCAAGACCAACAGAGAGCAAACGCTGGTGGTGAACACAGCCGCACACGCCCTCTGTCCCACCCATCAAGTGCCCGGTACGTCCCCCTCTGCAGTGCGTGTGTTTTTTAAGGGCCCTTTTTTTTGTCAAAGTGTGAGCGCAAGTCTTATGCTTGAGCTGCCAGTGAACTCCCTTTCCCTCACCCCTGCCTGTCCAGTTCACCACCCCCGCTGTCCCCGCGGCATTCACCATCTCCCTTGCCGGACCGAAGCCCCTGGCGGCTTTGCTCCTGGCGCCGAGACCTCTTGTGTGATTGTGTACACAGTGGGTGTGCACCAGCTTTCTGGGGGTTTCAGCAGAGTTGGGGACTGCGAGCCGTTTAAAATGAGATTGTGGTGTTTCTGAAACCATTAAATATTCAATGATGGGTGTGGGTTAGGTAGACAGTGGTGCTGCCTCTCTTTCCCTCCTCACTGCTGCTGCCATTATTATTCTGCCAAGCAGCGACAAATGAAGGCCCCGTATACATCCTCTTTGCATTTCAATTGCCAACTCTAAACGCACTGGCGTTGAGAGTGAAAGAAAAATGTATCAATGCGGCAACATAAAAAAAATGAACCCATAAGTATTTTTTAAAGGTCAGATGTGGCCATGACCATATGCCAATATTTGCAGTTTGCTTAAAATTTTAACAAAATGGAGAAAGAGACTGGAGATGGTGTCAACTCACAGTAAACGGTGCCCAATCCCTACACGTCTTTTGGTTTGAACGAGATGAACCCAAGGAGCACATGCCACACGAGTAAATATTGTTGTGCCTGTTGTGCACAAGCCAGCGGCTTCACAGCAACCTTCAGTTACAGCAAACACATTAAGCGGAACAAACCCGACGGCCAGACAGAAAATACAATCAGTGGTTTCCCTTCGATGGTTAATTTAACCAACCCTCTGAATCCAGCCACCTCAATCCAATCTCACACCCTCTTGACACTACCCAGCCACCCTCTCCACACCCACACGACCACTCCACAATACATTACGACCTCCCATGGGGGTTCTCATAGCACATACGTACACTGTACACTGCATAAATAGCAGCGCAGACCGAGACGTGAATATCAATAATGGAAGATACTCAAACATTGACAAAGAACCCCGTATAGCCTTAATAGAGTGTTAGGGCAAGTGCTGTTAGCCAGCACCCATGAAGGCCTGTGTGGTATATGAAGGGCTGGGTGAGCAGCACCACACCTAACCACATTTTTCTCCCTAGTGGCGATGTTTATGCACCGGACCAGGTGGTCATTTGAGGCTGAGTCAACCTAGGGGAGGCCCAGGACCAGTTCAGATGTTCGTCATCGGTGTTGCCCTGTGAGCGGGAATCGAACTCTGCTTGCCAGGGTTCGTAGCGCAACGTGCTAATCACTACACTGCCGCTCCCCACAAATGCTCAGACAAGACACACATGATTGAATTCATGCTGTTGATAGTGAGTGGCAGTCTAAAGGGATGAATTGACACACAGATTAGGTCACAAATTATCATAATAACGATACTTACCCACGACCAAAAAACTACGAATACACCGATCTCGTCAAGTCGCAGACGCTTAGCAGACTTGAGCCTGGATAGAATTTACATAGGCGACCACGATGCACAGCAAGTTGCTGCTGTACATTTCTGGAGCTATGCGGTAGGGATCAGAGGGCAGTGCAGAAAAATCCATAATTGCACTGTATCCTATGCTTCCAAGTCTCTTCTACCTGCCTTGACCTTACAGACGAGTTTGGTGAAAGAATGATCAAATAAACTCCACGACCCACATGACATGGGGAGGCCTTCATCCAGCAGTGGATTGAAGTCCTGTACACGTGCAAACGTAACTTTATAACAGTCTGGAGAGCCAAATTATGGGTTCTTAGTGGTTTTGAAAAACACGCCATGTGCAATTTTAATTACACGGAAGGTGAAATCATCTTGCAACTTCTCCTTCACCCAAGCCAGTGAATCCTGCCAGCTGGTAGCTGCATGCACGCACATGAGCACATATGAAGAGCTTATGTTACCTTGGGCATGATCATTATGGCAATGACGTAGCGATACAGTGTGAAGCTCACGCGTCAAGGCTGGCTAACATTTCCTTGCTGTTTTTCATGCCACCTGCCGGTCCTGCCATGGGCTATTTGTAAAGTCTAATTGTTGTTATCATCACCGTATTATAATTATTTGCATTAACTTTATTATTTTCCACCCCCGGAACAATGGCAGTCAGCCTCATTTTTAAATCCTGATAAGAAATAACGTAAAAAAAAAATAACAACATTGTATAATAAATAAATAACCCATAAATCTCATGTGAGGAATTTTAAAAAGGCATGAAATTCCACTGGGTGAGTCCTGTAATGAAATCAGGCACGGTGTCGAGCTTGCCAGTGGCAGCGATTCCCGGAAAAAAAGTATCGCTGCACGTAAATTATAGAAGCGGGGGGAAATTTATAGATAATTTATAAATATTTACAAAATAAATAAATAAGAACAACAACAAACGCGGGGAACCTGCACGCAGCAGGATTCTGAGGGGCACATCAATTATGCAGAATCCTCTTCAAGCATCTCCCACAGATCATTTCCTGGGGGGGGGGGGGAGTTGCTATTGATCAAGGCAGTGGTCACATTAAGGTGACTAAGGAGTCTAAAGGCAGACTTGCAAGGGAGGAGAGATGCTCTCTACATTCTATTATCCCGGCAAGCGGCAATAGTGTTCTAAGATAGCGGTAAGAGCAACCGCGGAAAGGCGGCAGTGGCGCTCACAAAAACCGGGCTTCGGGAAGGCGTGTTTAATTATGCATGCCGGACGTTCGAAACGGGTTTCAATTTTCGGATATTACACACAAAAAAAAAAAGGGAAAATGAGAATGATGAAATTTAAATATTATCTTAATAACCTCTTTCAAAGAGAACTGCTCGGCGAGTTTAAATGCAAGACAAAAACTGTAGGTTACAAAGCCTTGGAGAATCACTGTTTTCAAGTTTATTACTCTTAGAAATTGTGTGTTCTAATGCATTTAATTTAAAAAACCTCAGGTAACTATTTATATGATTTACAAACACAAATAACCTAATTATAAATACGCTTAAAGAAGGTTAATGATTATAGTTCATGATAAAACAGGAGTGTGAGCTCCATTGCATAAGCTGTACCTGACATCATGAGAAGACCATTCATGTAATTAAGAGATGTTAACTTTCAATACATTTTTACACTTAAAACAGTACTTGAAGGGAGGAATACTGCCCGCCTATGAGTTAATCATAAATACACAGGTTACACTAAGACCAGTTACTAATCCAGAAGTTTAGGAAATTGGCACAGCCAATTTTTAGATTTCACATCCTGACTTCTCTTATGACAGATGGGTATCCTCCAAACCCAAACCCAACCCCACAACTCCTATTCCACACAGTTACTTACATGTAATACACTACTGTAGTGCAATCGATTTTTCAGATTATACCCAGAAACTAAAAATAAAACCACAAAGAAAACAACATCAACTTAGGGGACAAAAATATTAAGTTACGCGGCAAAAAAAAAAAAATTCTGGTTAAAAGCCAAACTGGCTCAACACCCAGCTGCTGCAAAGTCTTTGCTCATCAGCTTAACTCGATTTCAATTGTTACCAAACTCAGCCTACAACAAACACAAATGAGCTTAACAAGGAATCAGCGAATAAGGCGCTCGGGGTCCCTGCGCGGCTGGCGGTGGGACCAGGCCGAGCGACAGGACCGCCAGGGAGCACGGGGCACGCCTGCCGGGGCGGACAAGACGAACGTCGCAACAGCAGCAGCGGAGCCATTACCTGCAGGCCACCGCGCTTCCTGGGGGAGTGCTGCCGGGACGAGGAGCTGCCATAGCGGGACAGCAGGTCGGCCAGCCACGGCGTGCGCCTCAGCTTCTCCGCCAGCGCCGAGATCACGCTGCACCGGCACCCGCACATCAGCAGTGCCGGCTAACGCGTCGAGGTGGCTCCGTACCTCCCCGCCGTCTTCAAGCTCCCAACCGTTCCGTAAAGGCACCAACACCTTTATCTTCTGCTCTACCCGACTCTCTTATCTTCAGTAATGTCTTGCTTTGCTTATTTTATGTCTCTCAATGGCTCTTTATTACACTCTTGCTGCCATGCTCAGCCAAGAATGCAGGACGAACCCGTTCCTACCTATGAGCTGAGCTAGCAGCCTCACCAGCACGTCCCTTCCCCAATCAATCCCATCCTCTCCGGTGCTCCCAGATCCCCCATCACTCTTCCCGCGCTCGCGGTGTACACGCGTGCGCCGGCTTGATTTACCCAATCACGCATCCGGCGCCGGCCAATGCGCATCCATCTCGCCGAGGAGCCAGCTGTCCCCCAGGAAATCTGCTGCTGGCAGCGGCGCTCTCCGCATCAGCAACAAGGCCTTTACATTTCATCAGTCAATAAAAAGGCCTCGAGGTAGACTGTCAATGAAAGCGATACGGGGGTGGCTCCGATTTACAATTCAGAGCCCCGCACGAGAGGCAGCACGCAGCGCATCTGTTGTGGCACCGAGGAGCAAACAGTACAATGCCGCTGGAGCCGGTAATCCCTGCGTCCACTTCTTGATTCGTTTTACCTCTTGCAGATGAGAAATCCCCCAAGGATCCTACGATCGATAAATGAAGCGCGGATAAAGCGCCGTGCTTACAGCTGGTCAGCCAGATCGGCTTGTGAAGCCGTTAGCAGTGAGCCTCCGCACAATCCCACGTCATCTCTCCCTGTGCCGCCCATTTTCAGATCAGAGGGCACGGCACTGACCTTTGCATTATTTTTTCTTTCTTTGTACCTTTGCACCCTCTTTGTAGGCAATGCCTCTTTTCAGCAGTCCCACAAGGTGAGGCTAGCATGGCACCGTTGTACACCAAGAGCATTCCGTCATTGCGAGAGGAGAAAAAAAGCGTCGTCACAAATTGATGGATTTGATTTCTGTGCGACCAATCACAATGGAAGGACCTCACTACAGCAGAGCCAACGCTTTCCCTCGCACGTGCATGCAGAAAACCACGACGTAATAATTGCCTCCGAATGCCGAGACACCTTCGCCAGCGGTGCACAATCATCACTGCAGACCATGGAGTGCAAGGACTGCACTATCTGCCGAGTGAACGCGGTATACAAACCCTGTGCAATGCATTTGCCCCGTACCAATAATTGCACGAGCTCATAGAAATCTGCAGTTGGATGCTTTGCGCAGGGTTGATGTCTCCCACAAAGACAACCTCTGCGATGGCACTACCAGTGTTCTGCTATTGGCCAGAAAATAACCACAATCCCAGCACAAATGCGCTGTGATGATTACTTCAGAGATGCAAGTACATTGCATCACTTACTATTGTTGTGGAATGACAATTTTTTATGAGCTGTAAAATATATGCACGCTGTTATACGGTATAATATTACAGCATTGACAGCAAGTGGTCTTTCCCTGCATAATTGCCTGCTCCCTTTAGCAAGCAGATGTTGAATTTTTGCAATAAATTCCTTTCTGTAATCTGAAGTTTGCTTTTCTTGCAGAAATCAGGTTGTAAATCAGCCTATGTGTTCCTGTAAATGGCGAAAAAATAAATTGAGTATTTTCAATGGACAATGCAGGGACTGGAGCATTTAAGTTTCCAGCTAGGCTCTTCAAAACATGGCAAATGGTTTATATAACAGAGGACAATGTTCAATATCACACCATTAAGCACATCGCATGACAGGTGTTTCTTGTGTGAAGCCAAAAAAAAATTGATTACCTCTGCTGACAAAGAGGATCCAGAAGTGCTGTTAGGATAAAGCTAGGTCAATGACTGATGGTAATATCTTGCTGATCAATGTGCTTCTTGTAAGCGGCATACACGTTCTTGTATTTATCCATCCGCTCTTTAACGTGACTATTTGAGATGGCTACAACATTTGCACATCATAACAATTATCGCCTCTCCACATGTCACAAAAATCTATGAAATGATGTTTCAATTTTAAATTTTAATTAGCAAATGATATTTTTATGAGCTTGTTAGGGAAAATACACATCTCACATTTGCATGAAGCTAGCCAATATTTATGGCTCGGAATTATACCACTGCCTCATTCAGAGCCAATGCTAATGTAGCCTCCGGGTAGGGGCATTGCGACTACCACTCATAATCAGGATAGTTTATGGGAAAAGCCCTCCTCATGAATTAGCGATGTTCATTAAAATGTCTCTTTGTCCTTGATATGATCCTGGACTTGACCTTAACGCCGCAAATGCCAAAACAATATGAACAATGATTTTTATATCTATAATTCAGTCGGCCGTTTACAGAAGGGAAACCCAACTCAAAGCCTCTTCACTTTAACCTATCCCAGCGGAGAAATAAACAAAGGACGTACATAATAAGCAAAATAAATGCGTGCGATCTGTGGACACTGTAAGGAAGCCACTTGGACGACCACATTGGTCTTACAACCATCTTAGGAATCCTTGTTCCAACCTCCCTTTGCTTTCCTGGCAATTCAGAGGCTGGGGAGGTGATCCAACAGGAAAAGGTCACTGCTGTTCCATCCCTTCTCCCTCTCCAATTATGGCGCTAACCATACATCAGCTAGACCCAGCGCTATAATGAGCCAGTCATGGAAACGGGAAGAAATACGAACTATCCTACTCTTAAATCACCATATAGCGCGTGCTTGCATGCTGTTCTCTACCTGAACTATTAACTTCCCATACTATAAAGTATTTTTAATGGTACATGCTGTACAGCTGTTTAAATATACAGACTCTGACCTTCACCTTGAGATTAGAGTAAAAAAAATGAATATCAAATAGTCTTTCAACAGAGTGTGGAGCAATTTTGCAATGATTGTTTAATATAATTATCAGTATATTTGAAAACTTTTCACTTTCCCAAACCCACAAGTCCTCTCTAATTCACTTCTTGAATATCATTCAAAAGAGTGTTATAACAAATTTTCGAGCTGTGAAATGCAATCATTATTGGTGCCCGTGGGATTGTGTGCTGCTAAGCAATGCCATGCACCTATGGGTCATTTAACACTACCCTGAAATATTAACGCACAGGAGAAAACACATTTATTACAAAATCCCACTCCCAATGGGGCTTCATATATCATACTAACACTGAAAACTGTTTGAACAAAACAAATTATTTGGTGATCCTGCACTGGCAGTGGTGCACAGGCACAGTTAACAAAAATAAACTTACAATTGTTTGTAAATAACACTGGCTTAAAATATATAATATATGGGCAATGGCGCTTCTTCGGGCAATGGATCATCGCCCGAAACATCACCATTATACACTGTTCCTTTTAAGGCAGTGTTAACAAATTTGTTGAGTTGTCTTTTTACTGAAGATTACAGCAGCCAAGAATACAACGAAAACTTTGACAATCCGATGAGACACTGCCACAGTATACACTACACAACACTAGACGTTTAAGCACAGTGAAATTGACAAGATAGCAATGCACAGTTTTAACGGTTCATTCATCACATCATCTGTACGCATTCCAGCCCTCGCCTACATGACACAATGTCAAAACCCAGCCTCCTCAATCGGGACACGCCTCTCCATCCTCCCACAACCCCCACACCAACTGCATATCGGTGCCCAGCCGAGCTAAGGGGTTAATCCAATTCGGCCTGCAGCAGAAAAGCAATTACGTGATCAGCACAGGATAATGAATCGCCCACGATGCAGAGCATCATGCGCGTCACGTACGAAGGCAGCAGCCCTTGGACTCGACAAGTCCTGCAAAGAGGGACGCTGCTGTGCGTTATTGCACTTGGCGTACGGGCGGCGTTTCATATATGCACGCGCACGCCTGCCACCGCGCACAGGTGCTTGGCGTGAGGGGATGGGACACAGGCCGAGGACTGTAATTGCTCCGGTGAACCCGACGATGCCACAAGGGGACAACCTGAGACAAGTTGGGAAGAAGAGAGAGAAAATAAAACCCCGATGCCATAAACATATTGTGGCGTACGGCTGAATGGGCACGGGTGGGTTTTGCCGAGGAGCACTTCAACTCCTGTCATCCGTCCTGGTAAATGAGGACCTACCCGCTGTATACACTGGCATTAAACAGAGTGGCATAAGGCGTGTTATGTCACACAGCCGTCAGCGAGCTTTAATGCATTCGTGATCTCCCATGCTCGATGTGGCACAATCACTTTTAAAAGTCAGGAACTGCGAAATGCCACCAATGTCTAAAACGAAGTGGAATCTTGATGAAACCGAAGCACTGGTGCACGAATCAGATGGTGAGAACATTTAACATATCATCCTCCGTGATGGGACATTTTGGTGAATGTCCCTGTATAGTTAATCGTGTGATATTGTGCACGTTCAATATCGTTGTAAAAAGTTTTAAGTGCCCCTGGCTTACAAGACCAACTCAGGTAATAATTTATAAACGTTAACAGCATTGAGAGCCACATAAATGATGTCCATCTTCAGCAATGACATATATTCCATGTAAGCACATTATAAATTAACACCACTGTTATAATTTGTATATGCAATATCAAGCATATTATACATTTAATTTGCAGTGCAAAATGTTTCCACGCAAGAAGCTGCTTACAAAGCTTTGAAAAAACACAAAAAACCTCAGCTCATGCAGACCACACTTAGTAATTTAACGCACACTATTAAGTACTGAATCTTTGTGGTGCTCATTTTACGGCTTAATGTAGTCGTAAACTGCTGCATTATTCAACGAAGAATAAATTTCACAACCTAGTTTTTCATTTTATTTACATCTTCCACAGCTCGTTTAGTAAACTGCGTAGCATGTTTTCGAAGGTCACGCCCGGACCAAAAGCGGAATTACACAAATTCGACAAGACAAATTAAATGTAAAAATCAATAGAGCAGGGCAGGATTGTCTGGAATGAGCTAGGAATGGGCAAGAGATGGTGTAGCGGCTAACTTGTGTGGTGTAACTTGTGTGGTGTAACTTGTGTGGTGTAACTTGTGTGGTGTAGCGGCTACCTTGTGTGGTGTAGCGGCTACCTTGTGTGGTGTAGCGGCTACCTTGTGTGGTGTAGCGGCTACCTTGTGTGGTGTAACTTGTGTGGTGTAACTTGTGTGGTGTAGCGGCTACCTTGTGTGGTGTAGCGGCCAACTTGTGTGGTGTAGCGGCTAATTTGTGTGG